ACAATATCTATCCTCCTCAATATCATTTTCTGACGCATAATCATACATTGGTTTTTTTCCTTTAGGATCACTCTTTGTACGTTTTCTACGAGGTAAGAGAGCTTGCAATTCGCTTGTCTTCATGATATCCTTTTTTGTTTCAACAGTAATCTCGTTACGTGATCGTCTGTTTGATTTTTTTTTGTGAGATTGTGAGGATAGATATTGTAAAATCGGAGGTCCGTCAAAAAAAGCAAAATATAAATCCGGTCGAAAGGACAAGGTCAATAAGTGTGATGATGATGATTTGGATGAGGTAAAGAGTAACATTTAACGTTATTTTTTTTAGTGTCAGTGATGAAATGATTAATAATTCAAAACGAACTTATAATTACTTACATTCTAACAAGAAATTAAAACGAGAGCGTGAAGACCGAATCCGACATTTTCAAGATATTGATCAGTATGTTTTGCCAGTAGAAGTTGTTATTGATTAACATGCAATAAGACGACTTCATTGTGGCTGCAAAACGGGTGATATTATGTGTAGATTCAAATTAGAATCCAAAAGTTAGTGATTAGAGGTGGTTCGTTTTTATATTGGACTGGTGTAACGATTAAATACCAATTGGTAACGAAGAATATTATCATTTTTCAATAAAATTATTGTGTATAAAGGACATTGTGGTAAGAAATACTTTGGCAAAATTACATTCGCTTTCAAAAATAAGAATTAAAGGGCCTCAAAAATAGGGCATATCGAATAATTGAATAATTTTGAAAGCAAAAAAATCGACCCTTTTCTTTTTTTTTTTCGGTTCTTTTCGTGTATTATGAAATTGATAAAAATAAATAAATAAATGCAATCAAAAGGCGATAATACCAAACAAGACTGTATATTAAATGAATGTAAATTTTTTAAACATATGGTCAAGTAAACAAACTTTTTAGTGGTATTTTATCACCAAGGAAGGAAAAAAATATGTATACCAGAAATGATGTCAAATGCAAGATAAAGAGCGGTGTAAAAGAGGGTTAATCATAATTAGATACAAGAAAGCGAGACAAATTTAAAGGATGCAAGGAAAACTTGAATTGACCAAAAATATCCGAATGGACAGGACGATAAAAATTAAGGTCAAAAGAATACCCTACAAAAATTATTAAAATTTTACCGTCCTATCCAACCAAAGGAAAAAAAAAAAAACTAAAAAAACTTGATTTTATATACCTTAGGTAGAATAAGGGGTAAAGTAATAAGGAAAAAATGATTATGTCTAAGTTCGTTTATGGATAAAAAACTTTTTTTTTTTCGAAAACATAGTCCGACATTGAAATAAAAATAAAAATCACGGACCACCATTACTTAAAAATAATAGATCACCGTACAACCAAAATAGACCAACAGGTCATAAAATAGAACATGATAAGAAGATAAAACACTTGAAAATCAATCATCATAAAAAAAAATATATATGTATAGAAAAATGAATATATATAATCAATATCAAAGGCTCATAATAAAGGGAAAAGAAATATATTATGCAAGAAAGCGAAAAATTTTTTATAGGAAAATATAATGGATAGTAGTAAAAGATTACACTCATACCAGATCCACCTCTTAAAATTTTTTTTTTGCCTTTTTTTTTTGCCTTTTTTTTTTTTTTTTAATACTATTAATGCTAACAATATAAATGACACGTATATATAAGAAAACTAAAAAAAATATTTTTTAATGTCATCCTAAACATCATATTAGCAGAAATAATGCTAAATACGTGCCTTTCTTTATTCGTCGTCAACTTCTACACCATCGTCTTCGATACCATCGATGTTTCTACCATCAGATTCCGAAGTATCCCCGGCATGAAGAACTCTAGCGTCGGATTCGCCATTGTTACGTCCCTTGCTAGCCTTAATAACGCTACCGTTATTGATTCCTCCAATTGTAATTCCTCTCGGCGGATTACCACAACGATCTTTACCATAATTAATACGATATTTTTTATATTCATCCTTCAGCTTAATTTGATCAATGGCTTTGATGGCGGACATAATGGAGGTGAAATTGACAAAACCACAATTCTTTTCTTTAAGAATATTCACCAGTTCAATATCACCATATTCAGAAAAGTCTTGTCTAAGTTTTTCTTCTGTGATGCTGTCATCTAGTTGTCCAACATAAACATTGCGCGAGGCACTTTGAGTACTTACAGCCAGTTGAATATGACCAGGTAAAGGTCCAGGATTCTTTCCCCATCCAACTTTAAGCCGTCGATTTTTGACCATCACACCCGTTTGTTGTGCAATATACATAAAACTATTGGCTGAACTAGAATCAATGAATGTCACAAAAGCAATGTGCTTTTCTGGCATATAACGAATTTGTTGAAGAATGCCGCCTCGAATAACATTGCATATTTCTTCACAAGTAGTATCCGGATGAATATTGCCAAGATAAACAGTTCTGTTTCCAACTCCTGATCCCGATGCCGAACTACCAGCTGCAGAAGAAGCGGAAGAGAATAAAGGACTCGTAGGGCTACGCAGTTCGGAACCATTATCAATATGACTTGAAGCAGCGACAGAGGCAGAGTGATATGGGTCAAAACCAAAACCCATGGCAGCACTGCCAAAACTTTGAAAGTTAAGGGAACTAGCTGGAAACGCATATTGTGGTGTTACTCCGTTTCCTACACTAGATCTCTGTGCGCATCGATCCTTACCGTAATTAACCTTTTTACCGGCATATTTTGGATCGGTTGGAAGCATTTGTACAGCTTTCATTGCATTAGATATAGACATGAAATGAACAAATCCGATATTTTTTTCCCTGACAATTTTAACATTTTCAATTGTACCGTATTTGGATAAATCTTCACGTAAAGTAGCCTCGTTTATGGATTCATCCAAATTTCCTAAATAAACATTACGCGAGGCATTTTGAGTATTAACAGCTACCTGAACAGTTATGGGAACGGGAGAAGGCTTTCCCCAACCGACTTTAAGTTCTTGACCGTTAAGAACTATTTTACGCGCTGAAGCATCTTGATAAAATAACATGGCTGCTGCACCATCCATGAACGAGATAAAGGCACAACTCTTATCATTAAGGATTCGAACCGATTCGACTGGACCCACTCTAACTTGGTTCATCATTTCTTCGATATCAACCTCCGCCGGAAGATTTCCGAGATATACAGTGCGACCAGTTGCGTTTGCAGTAGCGTTACTAACGGCTGCTTGTTGGTAAGAGGAAGGAAACTGCGCGCCAGAGAAAGCACTGGTAAATTGAGGGACCATACTATTGACGCTGGGAGTAAATTGATTCATAGCTGCGTATTGAGAGGGGACGGCTTGATGGTAAGCATTCATACTAGCAAAATGACCACTTGAATGTCCAGGATGATGGTGAAACCCCGCAGTACCTTGAGAGTAGGAAGGATTGCTCATCATCATTGAAGATGGACCAACCGGTGGATTTTGATAATATATATCAGTATTAGAAGACCCTTGTGCAAGGTCACTTCTCATACCTCCTGGTAAAGAATAGTTACTGCTGTAACCTTGTCCTGCGAAACGTGGCTTTTTAATACTATTATCGTGACTTTGATTTCCGTAATCGCTACTGCGTTTCATTGTAGAATTTGAACTATAACTTTGAGTCCTAAGTCCTTGCGAACTAGAAAACACCATAAACATAAAGCAACTGAGTGGAAAGAAAGGGTGTGATTAAAGGTATAAAAAGATCCGTCAAGATTAAATTCGTCCTCGAACTCCAAAGAACAAGAGACGGATGACCCCAGGATAAGACTCTGAATCTAAAGAAAAAATTTTGGATAAATCTGTCTAAAAGCAGATAGTACTGATAGTACGACACACGCATCATATTATAAATAATGTGAACATGTGAGGTTCACTAATTCATTTATTTGCTGATAAGTTTAATTTATACAATGCTAACCAATTGAACCGACGTGAGGCGGTTTATGGGTATGAAAATATAAGCATAAATGCGATGTAAAACTTAGCATAATTGGCATTTATATTCACTTCACTATCAATTAATATAAAATAAATTATGATGTGAATTTCCATTATTTTTGATTTTATATATATATTTATTTATTTACCTTTAACCAAAATTAATACATATAATTTAAGTAACACATATTACTTAGCTAATTGACGAGTTTATAATTGAAATATGACTATATAGTTATTTTGTATTTAATTAATCAACTTCACTATAGTAAGAACAAATTAATACGTAATCACTTTTAAATACGTACTATATTTATTCTTATTGTATAATAAATTAATACGTAGCAAATTTAATAAATCAAAAATATTATTTCTTTGTTCTAATTTAAATTTTATAAACCTTTCATTTTTATTTAAATAATTTGAGCTTGTGAACAAAAGGTTTATGGCAAACAACGTCCCATAAATCTTGGATACAAGCAACATTCTTTAATAGTATCACGATGAAGTAACCACCCTATAAACCGCTCGACACCTAAACCCAAGCCACCATGTTCTGTTGTACCATATTTTCGTTGATCCGTGTACCAATAATAATGTGCAGGATCAATACCTATTAGATAATTGTAAATAATTGTAAATAATTGTGTAAGTGTATTATATATGCATATGCATAATGAACTATTATTATATATATATATATTTTTTTCCTTTAAACATCATATGTACACTACATATCCTACCTTCACGTTTGTATCCCTCTAAAAGCTCTTGCTATAAATATTGAGATGGATTAGAATTCATATTTATTATCACGAATTAGAAATGAATTATATAATAAATATACCATGTCCGAGATCCTCATGCTAGCACCCACTATTTCGCCAACACCAGGAACTAATACATCTACACTTTCTGTTAGTCGACGGTCATCTTTACAACGACTCATATAAAAACTTTTAATTTCAGCGGGAAAACGACAAAGAAAAATCGGTTTATTAATTTGATCAGTCATTGCACGTTCAGGTGCTTCTGGAATATCTTCTCCAAATTCATAAAAACTACCATCTTCTTTTTTAATATTGTGATCTTTTAGGTATTGTATTGCATCTTTATAGTCTAGACGCATAAAAGGACGCTCCGGAGGTTTAAAATCTGGATTAAGTTGGTAAATCATATCTCGAGTTTGTTTATGGGAAAGAACACGGTCAATAGTGCCACAAATCAGATCTTCTAACGTGTTTAGCAAATCTTCAAATGAAATGAACGCCATTTCGGCTTCTAAGTGAGAGTACCTGTCGAATTAGCTATTAAATTATTATCATATTCGTAAACCATTCCCAAAATTATATGAATAAAAAAAAAAAAAAACACTTACTCAGATAAATGTCGACGAGTATGAGATTTCTCTGCTCGATATGATTCCGAAATACAATATACATCTCCAAGAGATGGAAGACATGTTTCGAGATATAATTGTGATGATTGAGTAAGATAAGCCTGTTTAATGATTGAAAGTTAGGAGAAATATTTTAACTCAGTCATTGAAAAAAGAATTAGCATGTCGCACCTTTTCGCCATAATAATTCAATTCGAATAAAGTACTTCCACCTTCAACTTGAGTTTGTACCAAACAAGGAGGGGTGACTTCGATGAATCCTTTAGAATCGAAATAATCACGAAACGCTTTCATTACTTGTGACCGAACTTTTAGTACCGCCGAAGCAACCTCGCCGCGAATGACAAGATGCCGCTGTTCGTACAATACAGAAGGATCAGATTCGACATTTAATTTATTGGTGAAAGCATCTTCAGCACCCGGTGCTTTATGATTAACTTCCCAATAATCAGCAAGGAGTTCATGATTATCTGGAGCCTATATTTTTTCGATTCTAGTAAATAGTTGATAATAAAGATAAATTACAAAATTTTAACCATATTTTACCGTCTTTCCAGGTGGCAATTCAGTAATGACACCGTACACTGTAATTGTTGATTCAAGTGACAAAGTCAAAGCATCATATGTATGACACTAATAAATGTATTTGATGAATAATTAATAAATTTTTGTAACAAGATTTTAATAAAAATTTGATAATTTCTTACTAATCTGCCGGTAAGAATACATTGAAGGTAACCAGATCCATCTCTTAGTATAACAAATTTCATATCCTTTCCTTGTGTTCGTAGACGATGGACCCATCCAGACACTTTAACGCGTTTCCCACGATTGGCAATTGCATCGCGAATTTTTATCTGTATGAATTAATTACATGTTTCGTTTCAATTTGCTTGTTCCACAATTAATGTCACAGTGTACACGTACCTTTAAACCTGGTGAAAGGGTAGGATCTTGTGTTAAAATAATATTTTTTGCTTCTTCAAGCTTTTTTTGTTCTTCTTCGTACATAAGTTTCTCTTTTTTTGCTTTTTCTTCAGATATAAGTTGCTCTTTTTTTGCTTTTTTCGCCAGGTCTTCAACTCGCTTTTTGGCTTTCTTCAAAGCTGCGCCTGAAACATCTTTGTATCCTTCCTCGGGATTTTTTTGAACTAATATCTTTATGCTGTTGCCTTTTACTTGAAGAGCGTAAACAATCGTTTTATAAGGCTTATCTTGGGTTCCATCACCAGAATCATCGGCGCCATTGG